GTACGTGCGTTCGTGCGTTGGGTAGAGGCAGCTGAACAGTGCAGACGATCACATCCTCCCCGGGTCTTGCTGGAGAAGGGCGAAATCTACACGGCAGGTACGGATTTTTTATATTTTTTATTACATTAAATGGGGTTTGAGTTATTGGTACGGAAGGACAGTAAGTGGATAGTGAATGTCGGTAGTTATTATAGGCTGTGTGTTATGCTGATGCTAAGTTTATATGTATCGTGGTAAGTGTGTGGGATTTGTGTCATGTTGACTGCTGTATTTTTAGGGGGCCAAATGTGTTGCGAGATGACGTGAGTAGTAGATGGATATGAATTAATTATATAGGTACGGAAGATGAATAAACACGGAATGTTAATTTAAATGGCATGTCACGTGCAATATCGAAACCTTACAAACAATTTGTTTATGTCAAACACCGGTCACTTGAAGCTTTCCCATTAACAGTAAGTACTGAAGACACGCGGAAAAGTTTGTTCTGACGTTAAAATCTCAGGGAGAAAGAGATTTTAGTTTGTTTTATTTGTACTTTGCAAGTTATTAAAAGAGTGATAACATAACTCAAAAATAGTGATAACTTTACGACATAGTTACTATCAACTGACTTGTAGAATTTGGTGAATATTATTATGGGATAATTGTCGAGCAAACAGCATGGAAACCGCCGTTGAAGTTGAGCCAGTGAGTATGTAAGTTTTATATGATTTATATTGTGATTGGCGAAGACGTGAGCCTCTGTGTGATTGGTAGCTGGACACTAGTGCCTGTGTCTGATTGGCTGAGAGAGGGGGCTTGGCAAGGGCGTGTACTTCGTAGATCTTTTATTTATTATCTGTCGCGCCAAATATGGAAGCTATTTTACCTCCAGCGGTCTCGGTAAAGAAGAGAAATATGGGGAGGTGGAAGTAAGGTTGGAAAAAATTTAAACCTAAGAAAGACCTCTGGAAATATATGGATGAAGATAAGCGAGATAAAGTGCTTGGGTCTGTAAGGCTGACAGAGGCACGAATAAGCATAGGCAGACGCGCACAGGCATTGCTTATCAGGCAGACACGAGAATTCACAAACAGACACAGGCACGTATAGACAGATGTAAGCTCGCGCAGACAGACGCAGGAAGACATACAATCACAAGCACTCACATTGATAGACAGAGACGTACACATACAGACACATGCACGAACGCATACATAGGTAAGAACATACAGACCCAATGACAGACATTATCACACGCATAAACTCGGGCCACGCAAACACACCGATTGGATCTCGGATACAGCGATACAGACAGGCCCACAGATAAGATTGCACAGACACACATAATACTTGAGATAATATTCCCTTCTCATGAAATCTCCGGGGCTGACCGTCCGTGAGAGAGATGCAGGGTTAGTCTTTACAACACGGACACAGTAGGATAGGGCAAATTGAAGATGACATTCTTCTAGAGGACAAAAGGTTGGAGTTGTCGGTACAAGTAACAATTTGCATACGCCGAAAACACACCGATTGGATCTCGGATACAGCGATACAGACAGGCCCACAGATAAGATTGCACAGACACACATAATACTTGAGATAATATTCCCTTCTCATGAAATCTCCGGGGCTGACCGTCCGTGAGAGAGATGCAGGGTTAGTCTTTACAACACGGACACAGTAGGATAGGGCAAATTGAAGATGACATTCTAGAGGACAAAAGGTTGGAGTTGTCGGTACAAGTAACAATTTGCATACACGCACGGGAACGCCACAAATGAAGAAAAAAGATCGCGGACAGCACCGCTCACAGCCCTAAGTTCACTCGGTGCTCCCGAGTTTCAATTTTTTTTATCTTGCCGAGCATACCGAAGACAATGTTTGCCGTGGGGGGGGGGGGCAGACTCCCCATCAAGCGTCTCCTCTGGACGCCCAGTCACGGTAATTTTGTTTGCTGATTAATATGTGTGACGTTGAGTTGGATCCCAAGGTGAGTCCTCCATTTATAATTGTTTTTGACGTCGTGGGGGACTCGGTGGATAACAAGATGCTTTATCATTGCCATGCAAAAATCATGAATGTTTTATATTAAACGATAAGCAATACTAATTTGGTATTATAATCATGATGTTGCATTTAATGGAAGCGATCTTGTTTTTGTTATATTTATATTATATTTATACACATGAACACCTGCACGTGCACATACACATGCACGTTGACACGTATGTACATGCACATACATTCATACATACAGATACATACTTACAAATACATACTTACAAATACATACTTACAAATACATACTTACCAATACACACGTACTTACAAACACACATACGTACACATGCACACACGTACGTACACATGCACACACGTACGTACACATGCACACACGTACGTACACATGCACACACGTACGTACACATGCACGCACGTACTTACAGATGCATGCACGTACTTACAGATGCATGCACGTACTTACACATGCATGCACGTACTTACACATGCATGCACATACTTACACATGCACGCGCATACTTACACATGCACGCGCGTACTTACACATGCATGTGCGTACTTATAGATGCATGCACGTACTTACAGATGCATGCACGTACTTACAGATGCATGCACGTACTTACAGATGCATGCACGTACTTACACATGCACGCGCGTACTTACACATGCACGCGCGTACTTACACATGCACGCGCGTACTTACACATGCACGCGCGTACTTACACGTGCACGCAATACTTGTACATGCACGCACGTACTTACACGTGCACGCACGTACTTACAAATACACCAGCGTGCTTACATTATATAAGACTAAGTGAGTGATATTGTCTAAATGTCCCTGGATGAAGGCCCTGTAATTGCTTCTTTGTTATTTGTCAGATCAAAACACCGGTTTATTTACTCAAAGAAGTAGCACCTGATTAGTAGCAAACGCTGGACTAATTAGCTCACCTTCTTAACAACTACCTGGTGATTATAAGTCTGTCCAGGTGCGTAATGGTATTCTGTCGCCGGCCGATTCTACCAGGCATTAAGAGATTGACGAGGAAGCGGATTGGCCTGTTTAAGGTAGATTATTCACTGTTACAGAGTTCGGTTAATCTTTATGGCATGGGTGGACTAAGCGAAGGTAAATTGAAGGTGATTTTCTTGTAGAGGACAAAAAGTTGCAGTCGTTCTTACAAGAAATAATTAGCATGCACGAAAGGTAATGCCGCAAATAAGGGAAAAAAAACTTGTGGAAAGCGTCCATTGGATGGTCACGAGTTTCAGGTCTATCTTGCCGAGCATAATGATGTAAGGACAATGTCGAATGGGGGGGGGGGTCGGGCATGGAGTCCCTTGTCAACCCTTCCCTTTGGACAATTCTCGAAGGGGGTGGGGGGGGGGTCGGGCACGGAACCTCTTGTCAACCCTTCCCTTGGGCCGCGCAGTCACGGGAACTTAGATCGTTGAATTAATTTTGTGGCGTGGAGTTAGGGATACGTGAAGCTGTAGTTTTGAGTGACGGAAGATTTTCATATCAATTTTTTTTTTTCGTTTAATTAGTTAAATTTAGATTCTTAATCATGCACGGAGAAGAAAGCCAAGAGACAACAAAAATGAAGGAAGACGAGGTTCGAGTTTATCAGGAAGAAAAATTGTTGCCATTCTGCAATTTGCATGTGGTTGAGAGTAAGAATAGCCTCCCCGTAAACCGTTCTTTCTCTCCAAATTGCTTGAAATTGCTTCACAAGCAGATCACGCGAGAAGTTGCCGAAATGCAAGGGGTAATTCTGGGTAATTCTTTCTTTGGCGAGTCTTGTCAATCTTGCACATTGCAGACTGTAAAAAGGGTAAATTTGCGGTCAAAGGCAAGCAGCTGTTCATGTTTTTTTTTCGTATTATAGCTAGTTCACTTTTAAGAACTATATGAAAGAAATTACAGATATGAAAACAGCGGATAGATATATGGCTTTTCAGATTAGTTGAACTGAAACGAACTGAATTCTTAAATCTCCAGCTCAACCTGTCACGTAGAAGGCAATCCGTGACCTTGGCTGAATGAACGACAAGAGACGGTACATGGTGAGGGAGAGGAAGGAAATAATGATAGTGGGAATAAGAGAGATGAATGGGTTTAGAAAGAGGGGAGGAGAAAGACGAGGAAAGGGGATAATCCAAATAATGGCAGCGATGATAGCGGGGGAGGGGGGGGGGGAGAAGAGGGACGAGGGAGGGACCGCTCTACTGTCAGATCATATAGAATCATGAGACTCTTGCCAGACCCTTGTGTTTAATCAACTGATACGAAATTTATTACCTTGCTGATAGGGAAATGACGCCTGTGTTGGCTTAACTGTGGAAAAAAAACAAGTAATATCAAGGTGATATCTATTATCCCAGCTCAAAAGATTGATAAACTTAGGCGCCTGCAAACACGTATTTATATTAGGTCACACTTATGAACAGATATTTGTACAAACTTATGCAAAATACGTGCCAGCAAGCGGTTTGCAATGTTCAGTATTGATAGCATTTGTTTTCCTGACATACATACTTGCAAAGCATAGCGATATGAGGATTTAATCACCCTTAACGTTCAGTCCAGATAAAATCCAGATAAGGATTTATTGATATTATTGAGTAGAGAAGGAATTTCCCTTGTTACACCTGACGCCTTCACATTTATTGTAACAGCAGTAACAACAAAGTTTCTAAGGTACATACAAATGCAGAGTATCAAACAAATCAAACACCAAATTGCAATTCTTATAAATGCATGCAGAATATAAAGCAATCCTTCTGAATGTATGCTCGGTAAATTGGGAGACGTAACATCGTTATTTCATGTATGAAAGGTATGAATATATATAGTTTATTCGATGTATTAGAATTGTATCTCCAAGTCTAGCATGTAGTAAGTTTGTAAATTTATGGAAAGGGTTGCGTATTAACTGCCAGAAAAGGATACTGTGGGCCGTCAGTTTAAACCAATGATTAGAATAGGATATTATCTCCAAGGTATTATATGAATATATATAGACCTTGATCATCTCATTGCGCGAGCCCAGTACAACGGTAACGTGTCGCCTTCTCATCTGAGGAGATCGCACCCCGCCAAGCCGCGAGAAGTTGAAATTGTCTCCCGGAGGTTACTGCTGTGGCTGGGCACCTCGGCGGGTAAGGACTCAATCGAGTCGGCACCAGCTGACACGCACTTATTGAGTTGGTATTAGTTGGCACAGGCCGGGCATCCACAATAAGCATAACCCGGGAGAGGTTCAGCTTCGCATATCTGGCTTATCCTTATCTCGTTGTGCGCTTGAGGACTACCCTGATCGGGGCATAGGCGGTGTCCCTTGGTTAGCTTCCTGGTCTAACTTCAACCATGGTCACCCTCCGGGACGCAAATGCCAGTCCATGTCACTGCGAGGAAAGCTTGGTTTGATATAGTTTGATTAGATCTCCGTAAACGCTATTATAACTGTTTGATAATATCTAATTAAATATGATCTTACTCGTAAAAGGAAATGAAATCATAGGTTAACATTTCTTATACGTTTTACTTGTGAGATTCCGAGATATACCTATCATTAACAGTATTATTTTGATTTTATTATTGCTTTTGCACATATTAATTATCAAGCCATTCGTGAGCGAAACGGGACTCTGGGACCACTCTAGGATGTGAGCCTCTTGCTCAGCACTCACTTAATTTTATCTTAATTATTAAGATTTGTTGACTCGGTTACAAATAATAGACCCGTTACAAAGATCTTAAAAAATGCAAATTCAAGGTTGCGTTTAATAGCGTTTTCCCAATCTTTAATCAACAAATCTCTGACTACCGTTTTTTTTTTTTAATGTCTGACAAAATTTTAGATCGAAAAAATAATTCATTGCACACCCAGGCGTACTAGGATGTAAGAGCAGGCCTACGCAGATGAGTGCACTCGTACTAGTCGTCAACACTAACGCTTGCAAGCCCGCATGCACTAACTGACGCCGACGCGTGCGGACACCTAGTCGCTGACACCGATGGTGACGCGTGTGAACACAAACCAGCCTAAACAGACGCTCGTGTTAACGCTAGCGTATGCACACACACACACACACACACACACACACACACACACACACACACACACACACACACACACACACACACACACACACACACACACACACACACACATACACAGGGCAGCGTCGACGCGTGCACTCGCGCACAGGGCAGCGTCGACGCGTGCACTCACGCACAGGGCAGCGTCGACGCGTGCACGCGCGCACAGGGCAGCGTCGACGCGTGCACTCACGCACAGGGCAGCGTCGACGCGTGCACGCGCGCACAGGGCGACGTCGACGCGTGCACGCGCGCACAGGGCGACGTCGACGCGTGCACGCGCGCACATGGCGACGTCGACGCGTGCACGCGCGCACAGGGCGACGTCGACGCGTGCACGCGCGCACAGGGCGACGTCGACGCGTGCACGCGCGCACAGGGCGACGTCGACGCGTGCACGCGCGCACAGGGCGACGTCGACGCGTGCACGCGCGCACAGGGCGACGTCGACGCGTGCACGCGCGCACAGGGCGACGTCGACGCGTGCACGCGCGCACATGGCGACGTCGACGCGTGCACGCGCGCACAGGCGACGTCGACGCGTGCACGCCGCACAGGGACGTCGACGCGTGCACGCGCCCCCCCGCACAGGGCGACGTCGACGCGTGCACGCGCGCACATGGCGACGTCGACGCGCGCACATGGCGACGTCGACGCGTGCACGCGCGCACATGGCGACGTCGACGCGTGCACGCGCGCACATGGCGACGTCGACGCTTGCACGCGCGCACAGGGCGACGTCGACGCTTGCACGCGCGCACAGGGTAACGTCGACGCTTGCACGCACGCACAGGCAATACGTGCACATGTACACTCATATAAATGTTCTTGATTGTAATCAGTCACATACAAGAGTATTTAGCAATGTCTATATATTTCTATTTTTCCACAGAACTCCATTAACAACTAGATCAAAATGGCCGAAGAAATTGGCTACCTGAAAAATGACCCGAACTTTGCCACTCGTGCTATCCATGAAGGCAATGAGCCGGAGCAGTGGAACTCCATGGCAGTTGTTCCTCCAATTTCCATGGCAACAACTTTCAAGCAGGATGGCCCAGCAGATTTTAAGGTTTGTGGTAGATGTTTGCAGAAGTACATGACTTCTCATGAGTTATAGTTGTTGATAAACAGTGGCAGATATACTGCTGTAAAACTCATTTATCCTTAGTATACAGTAAGTGGGCCAAATATTCTTGAGTCGATGAGAGGAAACAGCTAAATGGTTGATGTGAAAATGTAGGAGGCTATTTCATTCATTACAAAAACACAATAGAAAAAAATATGAACTAATGCTTACTCCCAGGTAGTATTAGTATGATATAGATTTTATTTCTATTGATTTTTATACATAAATCTTTAATGCCAGTCGCACATTCAGGAGAGTATAGATTGTAGAAAGCAGAATATACAATGTACTTCTTACCAACAGGAATTTGAGTATGGTCGCTCCGGTAACCCAACAAGAAATTGCCTGGAGAAATGTCTAGCAGCAACAGAGGAAGCCAAACACTGTAAGCATTTCTGGAAAAGTTTTTATTTTGTTCATCTGTTCATTGATATTGAAATGGATTAAACTGTAACACTGTTTCACAATTTTGCCTATGATTTTATATTTTGCTCGTTGATTTTAGTCTAATGTGTCATATGTACTAAAAGACCGTATTTGAATATAGCCTAAGTTTAAATATGGATATAGAAGTTCCAGAAAATAACATAGTTTCATGAAAGTACAATAATAATAATGTTAATAACTGTTAGGCACTGATATTTTAATCATATACAATTTCTTGTATACTGATACAAGTATTGTTGAATTTGGCATAAATATTATTCATAACTTTAGAAGCTAAGGGACTTCTCTTGCATAAAATTTGTCTCTATATAATTTGACATTTTTTAGATAGTCATAGTTCCCTTTTTTATTGAAAACTGATTTACTCTGTATTATAAGTGTCGTATGGAAAAAAATTGTGGGTGTGCATTCACAATATTTCTTTACTAGGAAATGTAGCTATACTTTTGTTTGATATGACTTATATTTTCATTTTATCATGTACAGTTACGATAATCACAGAATACTGTACAAAGTCAAATACGTGTAAAACTTTGTAGTCATGATTTCCCACGTCTGAGCAGGTAGTCAGGGTAGTAAATAAGCTTGTTTCTTCTTCTTCTTCTTCATCATCTTCTTCTTCTTCTTCTTCTTCTATGAAATTCCTTGTCTAAAGTTGCTGAGTAAATTTCCAAAAAACCTGTACAGAATAGTCTTTCATCCACTTTATCCAATATAGGTATAACCTTTGCCTCTGGGTTGGCTGCGACAACCACCATCACACACTTGCTGTCAGCCGGGGATCACGTGATTTCCATGGATGACCTGTATGGAGGCACCAATCGTTACTTCCGCCGTGTGGCTTCTAGGTATTAAAATTTCTGTTCATGTGGTTTTTATTATGATTTTTTATAAAGTTTATTTTTTAAAAAGAAAATTGCCAGTTTTTGGCTATAGATGTTTGATTCTTTATGCAGAATGGGTATTGAAGTAACCTTTGTGGATGCAACTGATGTCAAGAATGTTGCTGATGCCTTTAAAGACAACACAAAGATGGTCTGGATTGAGACTCCCACCAACCCAACATTGAAGCTTGTCGACATTGCTGCTGTAGCTGCTCTTGTCAAACCACGAGAGAACACCTTCTTGGTTGTAGACAACACCTTTATGTCGGCATATTTCCAACGCCCCATCCTGTTTGGAGCTGATCTTGTACTACACTCTTGCACAAAGTACATGAATGGACATACTGATGTTATCATGGGAGCTGTCTGTACAAACAGGTACTTTCATATTTAACTTTTGTATCTCTCTTGGGATTTCAGTAAGTAAATATATAAGTGGACAGAAATTCTTACCATTATTGTCTCTTATTCACACAAACTTGAGTTATCATTTTTATTTTTACAGCAATTTGCTTTCCTAATCACTTAAATTTGCTTGAATCTAGTGACGATTTGCACGAGAGACTGCGGTTCCTCCAGAATGCCATTGGACCAGTTCCTTCTCCCTTCGATTGCTACCTGTTGAACCGGTCTCTGAAGACCTTGGCTGTAAGGATGGAGCAGCATATGAAGAATGGCCTTGCTGTGGCCAAGTTCTTAGAGGGCCACCCATGTGTTGAAAAGGTCATTCATCCTGGACTTCCATCTCACCCTCAGCATGAGGTAAGAGTCAATAAGCCTTGCATATTAAGGTTTTGAATATGTATCTTGAAAAAAACAAAACATATATGATCCAATTTCGCTTTCCTTTCACTTTTATTAGGTGAGCCTTTATGTAGAAGAGAGACTTGATTTTTATTTTGTTTTAGAACAAATATAATCCATATGAGCTTAACTGGCACTTGGATGTAACTTGTCTAAATGGAAAAATTTAAGTTTAAAGAAACTGCATTTGTGATTTTTTTTGTTATCTTGTCACACCTTCAAAGAATTTGACAGTTTCATGGTTACTTGGTTACTAGGGCTATCCTGGGGGACTGCCCATCTCTGTTTACCTCCTAAGAACTGATCTTGATGAGGGACAGAATTTGATTCAGCCCTCGTTCTTTCTCTAAAACTGGTTGGCACTACTTCTGGTAATAAATTCAACCAATAGCCTAGTTTTCCTATAAATGCTCCCAGAGAGCTCTGGGTTGTGTTTATAATTCTTTTTGGCACACTATTAAATAGTTTTGACCCATTAGTTAAGAAACTCGCATCTTTTCCTTAATCGGGAAGATTGGACAATTATCCCTGTATGTGAGAATGTCTTACCCTGATTCCCCCGTCTTCTACTTCTCTTGGCTCTGGTGCCAAGTTTTCAGTGGTCTTTCATACACATATAATGAGGTATCATTCTCCCCATCTTTGTAAAGGGAAAGAGACTTGCCATGTTGTCTATTTTTTTGGTAAAAATTGTATTTTGTGTTACAGTTTTATATGCTTTGGCATGTAAAGTAACCAGAATGTAAGCAAAGTATGGCTGTTTGTATGTTTTATATTAATTGAATGAAACCCCAGTTGGAAAACTGTAATTATGAAACAGCCTGGATATCAACTTGTACACAGAAACATCATTATGTAAATGTATATACATTTACACATACTGTTGATATTCTGGAAAATCAGGTACTGTATATGATCTTTGCAATGTGCAGTCACATTTTCAGCTTATCTGGCATTTATAAATTGTGGATGCTTCACAGAGAATTGATAATAAAAAAGAAAAAAAAGGATAAGAATATATATGTTTTTGAATAATATTCATAGTTTCTCCATATGCAAAGGATGTTTAATAAATTTAATAATGCTCATGGCTCTTTCCTCTCTTGACAGATTGCAAAGCGCCAGTGCTACGGTCACTCTGGTATGCTGAGTTTTTATATTAAGGGGAACAATTTGGAAACCTCAAAGAAATTCTTCAAGCAACTGAAAGTCTTCACGCTGGCTGAAAGTCTTGGAGGTTTTGAGAGCCTTTGTGAATTACCGTAAGTTTATATAGATTGGCCTGAAAGGAATTTGTGTTTGTGTGTGAATGTATACATTTATAGATACTTACATGGAAATTTGTGAATGTGTACAGGATTGTGTTTATATAGGTATGTTTGTAGGTGTGGGTATGTATATGAGTAGGTATGTATGTATGTATGTATGTATACTTGTATGTCTAGGCAGTTACTTGTATTGTGTTTTATAGATTTTGATCAACTTGTTTATTTCTGTTGATAAGCTATATATTTGAATAAGTTAACCAATTCATGCATTAGTGATGTGCTGGGTTGGAATATTCTATGGGCTAGGATATATTTGCATAAATATATTTTTATTTTAATTTACTTTTTTTTTGAAAAATGATTATATAATTTTGATACTTTGCATTGCAGAATAATTGATTTAACTTCAGATTAAAAAAGGAGTCTGAAAATCTAATTCTAAGAAAGTGGCCCCTTAGTTGAGATAAAGGGCCCTTGCTTAGAGGGTGGTTGCCTCCGAGGAACCCCCATAATTTCATTATCTTTGGGTCCCTAAAAACCCTAAAAAAGTCATAATCCAGTAGTGGTGGTCAGTCAACTGGGCCATCATTGTTGGGGATACAGTCCCTCTAAGGTAGGCTTAAAGGTGTTTTTAGCTTCATTTCCTGAAAAAAAAAAACTAGTTGTGTGTACTGCAGCCAAAATCATAGAGGAGGTGAATGTAAGTGTTCTCTGCTTATAATTTTTCATCTGAACGGATGACTGAGTGGTGCACAAAGCACAAAGAAATCTTGGCATGTGTGGGTTCAAGTTCAATATTTTTTTCATCATATTTCTATAAGTTGATTTTACAGCTACATTTTTTAATCTATACCAATAGAGCAAATGTGAAATCAGTATATAAGATTATGGGATCTGATATACAGTTATGGTTTCAGATCTGTGATGACCCATGCGTCCGTGCCGAAGGAAGACAGAGACAAGTTGGGCATTACTGATGGCCTCATTCGCCTTTCTTGTGGTCTTGAAGGAACTGACGACCTGATTAAGGATCTTGACCAGGCTCTGAAGGCAGTGGTAAGTATTGTTCAGAATTGTGCTACATTTTTTAAACTGTACCAATAGAGCAAATGTGAAATCAGTATATAAGATTATGGGATCTAATGTACAGCATTGTTCCGAATTGTGCAAGTGAATGAATTATGGAATAAGATGAAATAAAAAAAAAAATTTGTACTGAATCAATTTCCTTTTCTTGTGTGTGTGATTTGATATGAGCATTTTTGATGGAAGCATTAAGCATCTATGTATGATTTAGATAATCAGAAGGAAAAAAAAATATGTAAACAATGTGCAAATTCTTTATTATATTAAATATGTTTTTTTTTTTTTTTTTAATTTTTTTTACAAATATGTTGTTTTATGTTGGAATCTGTATCCTATAAGATACGGTTTCAAGAAGTATGTATTTCTGATACAGATTTTGATTTAGCAAACTGCTCTTGAGGAATGAAATTAATTCAGTATATCATTTCAGGTTTAATCCCAAGGTTGCATCTGGAAGGAGAGAACATTCACCTCCTCACTGAAGATTTGCCTCAGTCGCTAGTGAAGATATATTACCTTGACTAGATACTGAAGTAATTTCACAGCTGAGACTAACTAGGATGTCTTTGTGCAGTCTTTATAATTCTGTTTTATTCACTAACTGAAAAAAAATCATGCTTTTCTGTTATTGGTTTATAATAATTATACTTTTTTTTCTATAATCTGTTTTTTTATAATGAAAGGTTTTATCTTGAGTGATCTGCACTGATATGCCATTAATTCTACAAAAAAATCTTCAGTTGACTAAAAAGTATTGAATGAACAGTATTTTCAGATGTTTAGAGCTGTTTTTAGGAGTTCCCTTCATAAGGGAGAAATACATAATTGAATCTATCTACAGCTCTTTTTATGGCCAAATGATTAGACTATTTGGGAATATGGAATTTTCAATATAGGTCAAAATAAATTGTACAAAAGGATATAAATCTGTTGATTTTGGATATCACAACTATATCACTATAATTTTTGAATGGTAGGCACTTTTAGTATATAAATTTGACTGCAAAGTAATGTTAACATATACTGTTTTGTGACTCTCTGCATATGTTTACTGTATGAAGTAATGTTAAAGGGTGTAGTAAAGTGCATTTTAACTTAACTTAATTATTGGAAGAAAATTGAATTGTTCAAACATAAACATCAACATAGATATTACTTTTATGAATTTTAGTTTGGAATGGAATTATTTTTTGATGAAACTGCATATAAAGCAAATATTTGAGAAAGACTTTAATTATCCTAATAATTTCTAACTCTGAATAGAATAATAATCTAACATTATGCCAAGTATATTTATGAAGTAGGTATTTTGATGAGCTTGCAATGCCTGCAAAGGTATGGTTAAACTGCCCTAATGAAAATTAGTTTAATAAATTAACTGAGTCCCTAAAGCTCTGGATAGTCCAGGTTCATACCCACACATGATGGAAGAAATAACAAGATTCAAAACTGTGATAAAGAAATTAAATAATTAACAGGTAGAGTGAATTTTACTGTCTTTTGTCTTTGGTAGTGCAGCAGACAGAAAAAAAATACTCAAAATGATGTAATAAATGGACAGAACTATTAGTAAATCAATTTGTGATATCTGAGTAACATGAGTATGGAAATTATAGTGTGTAATATTTTATGAGTTGGAATATACAGTGTTACAGAATCTTTTTTTATTGTTTCAACCTGATATGGGCATTTGGAAATTTTATATTAAATGGATTTTCAGCATCTTGGGTTTACACGTCTGACTATCTGATCATCCAAATTTATGAATACAGGAATTAGAATTAGATATTGAAAAATAAGCTGAGAACATGTCTTGTTTATATTTCCAGATTTCCAGTTTCTACTCTTTTAGATGTTTTCCAAGTTTTAGTCTTGTAATTTCTGTGTCTGAGGATTGGAAAGTGTGAAAGATCTAATAAATTTACACCTATTCTGTCTTGTTAATTTTTAGGTGAAATAGAAAATTTAAACTTCCACTATGTTTCTCACATAATTACAGGATTTTTTCATTTGTATCCTATTTAAGCATTATTTTAAATGATGTGATACCAAACAGGACTCTGTATTTTGGAGATGGAAAATAACAATCTATCAATCAACTCTTCACTTTATTAGTCTTAACATTTATGAATAGACATTAGATATTATTCAAATGTGATTAGGAATGTAATAGGTTTTATTCTTTTTTTCCTTTTCTCTTTGTTATGCATCAGTGCTATATGCCACTGGACTTGAAAGTTATGCATGTTTTATGCAACATTTAAATCTGGAAAGACCTTATTTCTCTGTGAATTTGTACTGTTATTGACTTTGAAAAGAAAGTTTGGTTGGAGGCTTAGTTTGTGAAGATCAATGTTTTTGCATTTTGTGATTTCTAATGAGAAAATAGTTGCCTCCCTTTCTTTCAAGACCAAATATACTTTACCTTCATCTATACATAAATGGGATATATTCATAACTTCCCATATTAACTCTTGTTTTGTAACTATTCATGCATAATGAAACCTTAGGCTTCCTTCTAAGTTTGGCCTTTATGTCATGTTACTTCTTTGTCATGTCACTTCCCCTTTCACTTTTAAGATATATATATCCTATTATTTAATCCAGACGAAGCATTTACATTTCTCTGAACTGTGAATGTTTTTTGTAGGATTCCTTAAGTGGGGTAAAATTATTTAGACTAATCTCTTCTTTTTCTCCGTCACCTTAACCACATGCTGCCAGGAAAAATGCTGTGCTTATTTAAATTTTTTTTTCATGAAATGTCTCTGCACATAGATGATTCTGCTAGTGCTTAGCTACAATGGAGTTAGTTAGTAGACCTTGTGACCTTACCTGATTTCACCTTTCCTTGAACTGGCGGAAAAAATGTATTTTTTACTAATGCTAAGAATATTGATGCCGTTATTTTTATTATAGACATTATAATTACTATAATGTTATAAACATTAGTAATGGCAAAATAAGATAATGTAAAATATTTTTGTAAATCAAGGAAAATGGTAAATGGGCGAGACAATACTCATAATTGGCCCATTTGTGACATAGTACAAGTGTAGCTATCTATGTGTAAAAACAATTAATAAAGTAAACTCACAGTGGGCATGGCATGTGCATACATACCATGCCCGTCAGAATTTGGTTAAGAATGGTTTGGGTGTCAGCAAACCTATAAAGAATGCAGTAAGGCTAGCGTGTGGTCACTATATTTACTGGTGTATTAGAAGAGATGAAGTAGTGAGAGCTGTATCACGCTTTAATTGTTTTGACAGGCTATATTATATGGCAGTTTGATAGGTAATGTTTTAACTTGAGTATTGGCTACATTGCACATTTCGAATGGTGTTGATTGTTTGTTTTGCCAGTCTGTTAACTAAATAAAAACAGATTATCATGTTATATTGGAAAAAAGTAGTCCAAACCCTAGTACCAAAGTGTCTTTAGTGCTTTGTGCTCCAGACTATTGTTAATTTGATCCTGCGTGGGTATCCAACATGAGGGTATTTACTATAAGCAAATAGTTAATATTTTGTTTTCTCGTATGATAGATATTTAACAAAATACACACAACTTTAATTACACTTTACCTAAGTTACTTTGTATGATTGTTGAAGCTCATGCAGCAAGTACTTGTTATCCTTTTCAAAGAAGTTTTATGCACATCACTTTTGATGCCATGGAAAGCTTTATAATTATGATTTATATTTGATTAAGCTCTGTCAAGTTTTGTAAGCATGGGTTTTCATATGGGCTGATGCTGTTACCATACATGAGTATATTAGTATTTGTGTTTGCATTTTGTCTTTGAAACATGTGTAGGTATATGGATACTGTTTTTTGGTCTCCTACATTATTTTGCTATGGAATATTCTGTGATAAAGAGTGGGTACATTTAGTTATGTCCAGTATAGTCAGATATTCCTATACTGAAGAAATCTATGATGGTCTATCAAGTACAAAGTACAAGGATTCATGACATATGTTCAAAAACCTAGCAATGAATGCCAAAATTAATTTAAGCAAAACTCTCTCCATGAGATTTTTACTTTTAGCAAAAATCCCAATGAACTTAAGATGGTAACTTGAGATGCCAACTGTAAAGTTTTAGTAATATGAGCTTCTTACTCCTCTGAGCAGCACTTGAGCAAGACTGATTGAGCTTAATCATGATCTCAAGTTCTGCTACTAATTACTTGTGTGTGTGTGTGGTCACCTGTTTCCATTTGCAAGTGTAATGGTAGTTTTTTATCATTTCTGTCAACTCTCTTTTTTTCTTGGTGTACAAATTCTGTTTAATACTTGCATTGCTGCAACAGAGTATTAGAAGTTAGATTTTTGTTACTTTTGTGTGCTGACATGAATGTTACAATGCAGGTGCTTTTAAATTTGCTTGGCATGGTTACTTTTAAAAAAATCCTTTAGTGTAGTTCTCCTAACTGAAATGTTATGTAAAAATCACTGACATCTGTCTTTTCTCTTGTTATCTTTTGTTTTTCTTTTACATTTTATTGTCCATGTAATCCTACTGGACTACTTTTCCAAATTTACAAGTCTGAGTATTATGATGAACTAATGATTATTATTTACGCTGAAGATTGTTCTAGAGTAGATTCCGTTACTTTTTAAACCCATGTCATAGCTGGCAATATATATTTATCATATATAGAGTTCTGAGAACTGTTGTAGTCTTCAGATTTTTTCAGTTCTTACCTTTTGTCTGTAAATCTTTGGTCTTCTAAATTTTGTTGGTTTTGTATAAAGATAACCGATTTATATTTTTCTTGAATGATAACTCTCTCTCTCTCTCTCTTCTCTCTCTCTCTCTCTCTCTCTCTCTCTCTCTCTCTCTCTCTCTCTCTCTCTCTCTCTCTCTCTCTCTCTCTCTCTCGCTCTCTCTCTCTCTCTCTCGCTCTCTCTCTCTCTCTCGCTCTCTCTCTCTCTCTCGCTCTCTCGCTCTCTCGCTCTCTCGTTCGCTCTCTCTCTCTCTCTCTCTCTCTCTCTCTCTCTCTCTCTCTCTCTCTCTCTCTCTCTCTCTCTCTCTCTCTCTCTCTCTCTCTCTCTCTCTCTCTCTCTCTCTCTCGTTCGCTCTCTCTCTCTCTCTCTCTCTCTCTCTCTCTCTCTCTCTCTCTCTCTCTCTCTCTCTCTCTCTCTCTCTCTCTCTATATATATATATATATATATATATATATATTTTTTTTTAATGAACATTATTTACCAGAAATAAGCCTCGCATTACAAAAATAGCATGTTCAACCTGCGTCCTCTTTCCCAGACCATGAATAGAGAGAGAAGGCAGAGCAAAATATATATCAGATTTTCCTTACTAATATTGAACATGACTAGTAATTGGAATCGAATTAGCATTTTATTTAATATTAATGAGCGATCTTTATGCCAAATCGACGTCCCGCATCAAGGCACAAAATTACAAATTTTCGCTAACCATGCTATCACCCTTGGCATAACACATCTACTGTTTGGTGTCGAAGAAAAATCTCAAGAGTGCCATTCGTGTATCTTCTGCATATACTTCTAGTTCATATTTCAGATTATGATTGAAACAGCAAGAGAGAATATATACTCTATTTTGCGGGAAGTAGCTGGATGTCTACAGTTACAAACACCAAGATGGTTAATAAATTTTTCAGTAGCACTCTTATACACTATAGGATTGTTCCACGGCATGATATACTGACTTCATTTTACATAATCTCGACAATAATATCACATTTGAAGGTCTCTCTTTTATCTATCTTTTCGGTGATCTCTGTGTGAGTCATTTCCAGGGAAGTGACTTGCAACTCTTGACAGCTAGCCAAACTACGTCTTTCGAAATGTTAGTCATGTTTCCTCTCATTCGACGTTTGAAAGGTCTTTGGTATTGAGGACGTATGAAGACACCAAATAACAACGAAATTTGTTCCTGAGTCTAAAGAGTATTTATGCTCAGAAAAACTAATGACGTTCCCCATAGATTTGAGTATCCAACTATTTTCTCTATTTTTCTCCTAAAAATACCTGCATTTCCAATTCCGTCTACCATGCTATTTCCTTTACGAAAAAAAAAATCCAAACTTTTTGTACTCCTAAATAAACATAATTCCATTCCATTTTGCTTTCTCTTTCGTCTCTCACAAAACGACCTCTATTTCCAACCCTCTGCGCTTTCATCACCACGTCATATAACGGTCAACACAACCTTCTCATCTTTCCTTCACATCTTGCT